GCTTCCCGTGTATCCATATCTGCGGTCGTTTTCGATTTCCCCAATTTTAAACTCGGCGCTTATCATCTATGTCACGGCTCTCAGCCCGCCCTCTGTTCGTTGATTGGCCCGGCTGTTTTCAGGCCGGAGGAAAACGAAGAGACACGTCGCTGTCTCAGACAGTACAGAACATAGACTGTAAAAAATATGGACAAATCGTCTGTGACGTCACCCATATACTCTCTAAAGAATGGACTTGAGGCTGTTTATGGGGGGTATGGGCGGCGCCATACTTGAAAATCTTGGAAAATACAAAAGTTTCAGAAAGGATACAGAGGTGGTATGATTTGTTTTGTCAGATCTTGGCCGAGACGTCAAATTCACTCGGCGCAGCCCATTATCAGCTGTCAATCAAAGTTAACCGCCCTTATTTGTCATACGTTTTATATCTAAATATGATCTAATTCTAAACTAACGAGTTAGAAAAAAATTCACCCCCCTCACAGTTGTCAGGCACGCGGAACATATTGAAGATTACAATAAAAGTCCATGGGACCAAACTGTAAACATATGAATTTATGCTGTGAAAACGGACATTTTAACATGACGTCTATGGATATTTGGGACCGGCCTCTAGCGGATTTGAGATGTATTGCAGTTTATCGCACTTCCGGGTAGGTTTCATCTTTCAGATTAGAATGTTGATGCTTGGTACAGAAGTGCAATTAAATAGAGCGGAAGTAGAGTTCTCAACGGGTCTGAAAATTATTACCCGACCTGACCCGGCCCGTGGCTTTTAAAGCCCGGACCCGATGTAACCCGACACATCAACATGAATTATCTGCCCGAACCCGGCCCGCGGCCCGACTCGGACGCGCTCTACAATCTATTGCCGTTGCGGCGTCTATTCATTCCGGTGAAATCACAAAATAAAATGCACACAAACTTGGAAACATTGACTTACTAGTCCATCGCAACATGACATCATGACTTTTGCGTAAACATACACGCCAGTTTCGAGTCAAGTGGCGTGTTATGTCTACGCATTTTGAGCTATCCGCGTGTATCCGTATGTCTACGCCATTAACGTCCGCGTCATTCCGCGTGTCTGTACACGCCGTCAAATGTCCGAGCGAAACGAAAATCTACATCTACATCTGGGGAGCGATCTTTTTTTTTTCCCTAGGATGGTAAGGGAACAGTCATAAATGCCATGAACCCCAGTGACGGTTAGGTTTAGGGACGGGGTTGAGGTAAGTCATATATTTACATATACAGTAATAACGTTAAGTCAACGGCGTTCATAAACACGCCCATCATTGATAGCACGCCAAAAATGGAAATACGAATTGGCGTGTCATACTCGCACTACTTCATGAGATCAGTCTGTCCATCAACAAGATCGCCAGGTCAGCATCACCGTTGCATCCAGTGCTGCTTTTTAGCTCGCGCCAACAAGTGAAAAGCCCGACCGGGTGGGACTCGTCAGGTTTCTCTCGCGGTCAGATTATCTTTTCCTTTTCCTAGTCTTCCGACTGCGTTTTCTTTGCTTTTTCCATCATCTAGTATCACGTCTGAAATGCGCGAAAGTGCAGTGTTGACAACTGTTTTCAAAGCAAAGTAGCTAACACCATGCCTGTTTAAATAAAAATCTTCACACAATAGTAAATAAAAAAAACAGCTGGCGGGCTACGAGTTTTGAAACAAAATAGGCCTAGCCTACAAACATAATCATGTGCTTATAATAGGCATCGTAGAGGAAGATCAGGCGTGTTCTCCTCTCGGCCAGCCACCCGCGATACACTTTGCACGCAGCAGCCAGACTTTCTTTATGGTGAACAGCAGCAATGATTAATAATTTGTTTGTTTGTTTTTTACTGGGCGGAAAAGATTAAGCCCGAGGTCCGACCCGACCCGAGTCATTTGCTTATATTTTCGACCCGACCCGTTGAGAACTCTAAGCGGAAGTACGAACTCTGACGTAGTCAGGCTAGTAATTCCTAGCTTTCAAAACCAAATCCTTTGTTTAAAAGGACACATGCTTAGAGCTTTTCAAAACACTCAATATTAATCTCCAAGTTCATCTTTTGGACATTTAAAACTTCCCTGAGTGGAGAGAGACAGGGATTATATGCCTGTGCAATTACCTCATAGATCTAGCCATTGTTCCCAAACTGCACTGTAATTATACAGGTGATTGCCACCAGAGAAAAGCCATTGTTCAGACTACAAATTCAGTACAGTGTCGTCATTCACAGTGCTAAGTTAGCCAATGACCCCAACAGTAATCATCCTGTACATATTCAAACATAATGACCACCCACACGCTCAAACCCATTCATTGGCACCGTAATCACAAACATAACGGAACCATTCTTTGTTAAACCGCGCTCCACGCTGTAGGTCGTTTCGCACAAAGAACGGCACTGAACTTTGTCCTTTGAGGGTTAGTGTGAGAGCGGTGAAGAATAGAGAGGAGATCAGTATTCAGGCTGAGTTCTGTCGTGCTTCTATTAAGTAGGAGAGTGGCAGTCTGATTATCCACTTTGTTGGCAGTGGTGGGAGTGGACTGTACTGGGCCATTTTTGCATTAACGTTCTGATCAAATTTTCATAACTCAATTTGGCGGAGGTTTGCATGTGGAGGATTGAGCACATCTGTAAAGCTCTCTGGTGCCTCTGCCCATGCAATGCACCTTCCCCATGACATTGACAGTCCCTTGACAATATGTTGATTGTGCTTATGCTTACATTTCATCTATACTTGATTGGCCAGAGGTACATTCTGTTGCTCAGAGGTTGCACTTTATAAATATCAGTCGACAGTACCTCTATATCTTCTAAAATTATTTTTATCAACTCTTATGTTGCCAGCTAGCCAGCATCCGGATCGCATTTAGAACGACGATTAAAACAGATGTGGTATCGAGTCCATCAACACCCTCAAAGCTTTACAGTCTTATTTGTGTATTTGTGATTTATGGTAATGTGACGATGAACCAGGTCAATGACATTATCAGAGAGTGCCAGCCTAGTGCTATTTTGAATTTACTTGGTGTGCTGATTTCAGGAATGGTTTAGTATGCACTCTAAGAAAAAAAGGGTTCATTGGGGTTCTATATATGAAGCATAGGGTTCTTTCCAATGCTAAAAAAAGGTTCTATAATGACAAGAAAGAACCCTTTTGACACAAAGGTTCTTTATAAGCAATTATTCATTCATATATTACATTATTCTGCAACATTGTGTAGTTGTAATACAATTATTGTTTATTAAACTGTTGTAGTAACTTAATATCTGAAGGAAAAACTGAAATGGCACGCAGATAGAAGCGCCCTCGCCCTCAGATCATTGATTACAAGAGGTAAAAACTATATAAATACTGTTCGTTTTCTCACACAAACCGCTCGTTTCGTGTCTTAGGCCATCAATGTGTACTTACATTTACGAGTCATTAAATCATGTTTAATTTGGACTTCTCTGTGGATGCTCTTTGAGGTGGTGACCATAGACCTCCATTATATGACTGACAGACAAGAACGGTTTGACCTAAAAATGTCAAAATTGAAACTACTGCGGAAACAAAGACACCTACATCTTGGATGCCTTTGAGGTAAGTTAAAACATATCAAAAATTAATTTTCAAAGTGAACTATCCCTTTAAACTGCCTTTGACCATTCAGGGAGATTTTGCAGTATGGAACGTCCAAATATTATAGGAGTTATTTAACAAAAACGAATGTCTCACCACATAATGACAACCGTACATCCTTAAATTCTGCGCTTTTATTTTTAACATTGCACTCATACATTGTTGTTGTTGTTTTTTTTTTTAATCATGTAAATGTACGTCTTTATTGGGACAGAACCTGATGGATTACATGACTAAACTATATCAAGCATGTAACATATCTAATTTGTGCATTAACGGCTGTTATGTTAAATTTATTCATGTATCTCTATAATAATAGATACATAAATACCACAGAGATTTTAAAATACATCAAAGGGCTTTTATTGTCTGCTCGATTCATGCATCTCCATCATTTGATGATCTACAAGTATGCATGTTATGGTCAAAAACAAGGCACTTCTTAAACTGAAAGATAATGCATCTTGTGGGATATTGATTTTTCAGGTCTGGAAAAGTCTAAAATTAATAATATATTGATGAAAATATTAAACTAATTTTTCCTTTGAGTTTCTTTCAAAACTGAGGATTTGTTTTGAGTGTGTAGCCTTATCAGAGACATTCAAACAATTGTTTAAATCTATTAAATGACTTTTAAAAATCACAAAGAAGGTCACGGTAATGTTGGACATGCATGTTTTCTTGAGCTGCATTGCTGAACATCAGCTTATCAGATCAGAGCTCTATCGCCATGGCAGCAACATGTTTCAGAATCCATCATATCATTCAGTCCCTCATGAATTATTTAAGTTATGATTAGACACTGCAAGGATGTTAGAGCAAATCAGATAATACATATTCAGAAGTGATCACACCAGTAATTCGTTTTTCAAAGTTTCTTTTAGTTAATTCATTTGCTATGCTATTGTGCTTTTCTAAGTATGAACTTTATCTGTCTCAATATTAGAATTCATGAAATGAAGGTTGAATGCTAAACAAGATGAATACAAACGTATTCTATTTACTCACATTTAATTTTATATTCAAATAATTAAGCAATATAAATGTGTGTAATAAAAATGTCTACTAGATCATTGATCACCTTGAGAAGCGAGAAACTAGCAATATACGCACATGCCACACATAGTTTCATTGTTTGATTATCTAGGTTGTTACTTTTACATATTTACACTGAATTACAAGAATAGAAGCTATACCTATTACATTTATTATTGAGGGTCACAGTTTACATAACATTTTGAAAGTGTAACTAGGTTAGGTTATTTCCTGTGAAACCAGTCTCACTTTGTGGCCTCAGCTAAATAGTGTCGTAAACCTCCTGAACACCAGATGGCTGCAGAGAGTCATATAAGCGGAGCTTCCTGTCTGTTCTGACTCGAGCACCGCACGCATGCTCGGTTTCAGCAGTTCGACCTCATCAGTTCTCTCTGCACAGCAAATTTAAGTTCACTATACTGTTGGAGTCACATATAGTGGTTTATTGCGAGTCGGAGTGACTGTAAGGCACGACCGAATGTGAGTAACTTTAGTAACGTGTGAATCGGTGCTTACTCGAGACTCGAACCGTTTAGAACGGTTCACTCCGATTTGGCGAACTACTTCAACCAGTTCACTAAAAAGAACCGGTTCAAAAGAACCATTTGGTCAAGAACCGGACATCTTTAGTGATCAGACGTGAAGAATTCTACAGCGCACTCATTCACGGTATGTTCGCTGTTATGGAAAAACCCGTTGTTTTTGAAGTAATGTTACTAGACCGCATTTGATTAACAAATGTATAACCTGCATATATATTTTTTTCTGTGCTTTTGCTACAATTAGCCTCGTATCGCTCGAGAGTGAAGAAGTGTTCGTGTATTTCTAGACCTCAGTTTTATTTCCTAAATAATTATTCACAAATAAATTATTGCAGCTTTATTAAGCGGATAATTAAGCAAAGTTGGAATAATCCCCACCTTACTATTGTGTAACGGGCCTGTGCGTATTCATGCGAAAGGCCTTGAAGCCTGTTTCACGCCACACGCGTAAGCAGCACGTATTTTTTTGTTTTTTTGCCCAATGTCACACTTCCGGGTTTTAACTTCCGGATTGGCCCACGCAGGATAAACTTTTTTTTCCGTTAGCAGCGATGGCTGAGCCTAACAAAAACATTTAGGAAATCAAATTCTTTGTACGGTATCATGAAAATATTTCACCTGTCTTGGTGAAAATGTTTCACCTGTTTTGGTTAAATCGAAATGACGGTGCTTATAACTTGTTTATGTTGGCGCGACTGTGCTTTATCACACTTAATGTAAAAAAAAAAAATGTTTTTCAGGAAGTAATCGTCTGGCATCTCACTTCTAGCTTCTCAGACTGTTTAATATCGTGGAAAGTCGGCTTTAGCTGGTTTATATTCACTGTAATCCACTGCATCACGGGGCATATTGCTTTTATAAAACAGTTTGTCCATACAATTAATTTATTAATAGAATAAACACGCAGCAACAAAAAACCATCATATTGATGTCAAATTGCATCTTCCTTGAAGCAATGTACATTTATAGAAACAGTTCAACAGACGCAATGGCGCAGTAATATTGATGTAATGAGGTCACGGTGTATGTTTTTATTTTATGCTGCCGTCATATCAGTAGCTTCAAACACAGCTCAGCCAATCAGAATCAAGGACTATATCTGTTTTAGACAGTGCATCGATCCTCTATATCTATCAATGTTTTTAATCTGTGCTTTTTTCCAGATCACTCCAAAATGTCTGAACCACGGGCCTTAAAGAATCCCTACCTAGATTACACTGGGCCTGGATGTGCACAAGACTTGTTTGACATGCAGGGAAATGTAAGTGATTCCAAAAATACTGAATCTTACAAATACTATGGTAATCTTAAAACTAATTGCTATACAATACTAGTATATATGAATAAGCTAATCATTCATAGCATTCCCTGAATTACAGTAATACCCTCTTTTCATCCCTGTATACGTAATCATATCTGATTTATAAATCTTATTTTTCCTCTGCAGTTGACCCAGCATTTTGCTAGCTGTGTAAGCAGTAAGATTGGTGAGCTTATGGCAATTATGGAGAATGGACTGAAGACTGCTGACCCCAGAGACTGTACTGGCTACACTGGCTGGGCAGGTGAGAACACGCATGCAGTTGTTTTAAAAACAGAATTACTAATGCATGTTTAGTGAAACTGTATGGTATAATACCACTGGAATCAGCCTCTATAGATGGGGCTGCTTAAAGGGATAATTCACCCCAAAAATGAAAATTCGGTCATTACCTCAACCACTTTAGACATTTAGTAATATAGGGATGCACCAATTTAAATATAATACTGCACTCGTGTACTAAAACTCATTAAAATGCTTTGATGCCAACATCCGATACCATGCGGTGTGTACAGTACAATGCTTGTGACAAATAATCACTGACAACAGAGCAGAATGGATTTTTCACAGAAGGATGTCTATGAAGTAATTTTTTTTAGAGACAGATGATGATCCCTTTAATTGAATGTGAAACAAAATAAATATTTCTGCTTGTATTGCTGCTGTGTGTGAGCTAATAAGTTAAATATTCGGAGCGGATTGAGTGCCCCACGACACAGCTTATCGAGTGCCCATCCATTTTTCATGGAAAGTTTGTAGTTTGGTCGGACATCAATAGCAAAGAAGGTAAAACGAGTAACGTATTACTAACGTTAACTGACTGTATGCATAGAGAGAGAGAGAGTGTGTGGTCTTTTGTTGCATGCTCTTGCTCACTCTGCACACATAAATGTATATTTATTCAAAACAAGTACCTACTCAAGAGAGTGCGATTTGAGGCAGTTGGTCTGGGCAGCCGCAGTGACGCGATTGGCTCTTTTATTCTGAAGGCGGAACTTCCACCATATTCCACTTTCTCCCATTCATAAGTAACACAAGTGTATAATCTTAAGTAGCTTTGCAAGTACATGTCAACTTATTCTACAAACCTGTTGCGAAGTTGCTTATAAGTAGAAGAATGCATTTATTTCGTCTGCTGAACAACACAAGGAAGGTATTTTGAAAAATGATGGTAATTAAACAGTTTTAGTTCTAGTTAACTTCCATTTTAAGAACAAAAAAATGCCAAATTCTAAATACCACATTTTGGGTTCTGCATAAAAAGAAAATTTATTCAGGTTTCGAATGACATGAGGCTGAAAAAACGGACAATTTTTGGGTGGGCAATCCCTTTAAGGCATGTGCTGGTATAACTTTGTCCAATATATTGACATCTGATTATAGTATTTGTTTTAAATGCTTTATTTTAGTTCAGTACTCTTGTTCATGGTCTTATATCATGAAACTACGTGGCCCGCATTGCTAAGTCCCCCCTCCCCCAACTGCAGGCATTGCCCTGCTTTACCTGCATCTCCACAGTGTCTATGGAGATCCCTCTTACCTCCAGAGGGCCCTGGACTATGTCAACCACAGTCTGAGGAGTTTAACCCAGCGCTGGGTGACCTTCTTGTGCGGGGATGCAGGACCGCTGGCTATAGCGGCGGTGGTCTATCATCGCCTCCAGAAACCACATGAGGCTGAGGAGTGTGTGAACAGGTCTGACCCTGCTCTACCTCCATCTATGTGTATGTGTTGGGTCGGTGACATTAGTCTCCAAATTAGAATTACACGATCTAAAAAATCTTAGTAGATACTATTTTTCTCTGCTTATTAAAAATGTAATTCATAGGGATCGTTTTAGTATTTCTGAATTCATAATTATTGTGTATTTAACTGTCTTAAAGAACTGAATTTCTTAGAAAAGGAAAAGATGAGTTTAGCCAACTCACTCGTTGGAGGATTTCTCTCGGACATCCTTTGTCACTGACCCATGTAAACTTGATAAACATTGGAAATGTTGATTATTTAAATATATTAGGAGAGTTAAATGTAATTTACTTTAGTATATTGTCTAGTTTAAATATATGATATATTGATGGAATAACTATCAAAATGTATTGTTTGTTGTCTGCTGTCTACATTGAGTCTACATGTCTACATGTATCGTGTTGTATGTAGGGCTGGGCGGTATATCGAGTTTGTATGATGTATCGATTTTTCTTTCTTTCTTTTTTTTTCTTTTTTTTTTTAACGAAATGGAATGGCAATACCGTTTATATCGATACAGAAAAATAGCCCAGGACGCATTGTGAGCTGCTGTAGTGAAGTTCCTATGACACAGGCTTATATTAAAGGAGTAGTTCACTTTTAAAACTTTTGCTGATAATTTACTCACCCCCATGTCATGCAAGATGTCCATCTCTTTCTTTCTTCAGTCAAAAAAAATTAAGGTTTTTGATGAAAACATTCCAGGATTTTCTCCATATAATGGACTTCAATGGGAACCAAACGGTTCAAGGTCCAAATGAGAGTTTCAGTGTGGCTTTAAACGACACCAGACGATGAGTAAGGGTCTTGTCTAGGACCCTTCGAGTCATGACTCGAAAAAAGATTTGTTCATTTTGATTAAAGAGTTTGAACAGGAGTGTAACGAAAGTTCATCACAGAGCAGAGCAAGGCGAGCATTTGTGCTTATAAATCTTAAACTTTGTTATTTTTTAAATGAGCGATCGTTTCGCTAGATAAGACGCTTATTCATCGTCTGGTGTCGTTTAAAGCCCTTTGAAGCTGCACTGAAACTCTCATTTGGACCTTGAACCGTTTGGTTCCCAATGAAGTCCATTATATGGAGAAAATCCTGGAATGTTTTCATCTGTAAATGTTAGAAAGTCAAACAAATATGTCCATTTCACTGACAGGAGAAGACGAGCTTCTGTAGTGTGACATAACAGTTTTTTTTAATAAACACAGATTTCCTTATCCAAATAGAAAAACATAGTAAGTAGCGAGATTAGATATATTGGTTAGATACTGTATATTATATATATATATATATATATATATATATATATATATATATATATATAAATAATTTATCACCATTTAACCAAAAAACAAGAAGATATGATTTTTGTTTTTGGCCATATCGCCCAGCTTTAGTTGTATGCTTTGGATTGCTGGCTTGTTTATAGCTTAACACTACTTTAATAGAATTGCCCTGGAATACTCCCAAGAGCTTGTGTTCATTAAAAATCTCATACTAGGATTCCAGGATGAGGGTGAAATGTGGAGGATTTTTTTTGGTCTATAGGGCAGCTCAGCTCTTTTTATGTCCTATGTCTTGTCAGGGATTCATTCCCAGAGGATCTTATTGTGATCTATTTGCTCGAATGTTTCCAGGCTGCTGCAGTTGTACCAGTCTGTAGTGCAGGGGAAGGGCAGTCTTCCTGATGAGCTGCTTTATGGGAGAATGGGCTACCTTTACTCCCTTATGTTCATTAACCAGCAATTTCAGCAGGAGAAGATCCCCATTCAATACATTCAACAGGTCAGTCACATTTGTTTGGCCTCAAACCTGAACTAAAGCGCATGAAATCATGTTTTAACACAGGATGCATGGCTAATATGAGTTATGCATGATAAAGAAAACGAGTTATACGCAACATGACCAAAATGTACCATTTTTATTATATCAATAAATGCCTCTGGTCTTATTGAGAAAAGTCAAGTCAAATATATTTATATAGCGCTTTTCACAACACAGATTGTATCAAAGCTGCTTCACAGTATCAATCAAGACAACTTAACAGTGTTTGTTTATTCATGGAAAAAAACTTACTATATATTTTGGAACTGACAATTGACATTTGACTTGTGAATGGCTGACAATCTCAAAATATTTTCAGGTTAACAAGACTCAAGATGTTGTGAAAGTGTGTATGTTGTCTCAAACATGCATTTATTTCAGATCTGTGATGCTGTAATGGCTTCAGGGCAGACCCAGTCTCAGAGGAACAAGATCCAGGAACAAAGCCCTCTAATGTATGAGTGGTATCAGGAGGAGTATGTGGGTGCCGCCCATGGCCTGTCAGGGATCTACTACTACCTGATGCAGGTGAGCACACTCGCTATACAACTGGCAACAACCAATTGTTGGGGGGGAAAAACTATAACTTTGGTCATTCAAACAAACTAATTGTCTCTCTCTCTCTCTTTAGCCTGGGTTTGTTGCAGAGGACAGGCTTTCGTATCTAGTCAAACCCAGTGTGAACTATGTGTGTCAGCTGAAGTTTCAATCAGGCAATTACCCACCATGTGTCGGTGATTCTCGGGATCTTCTGGTGCACTGGTGTCACGGCTCTCCAGGAGTTATCTACATGTTGATACAGGCTTTTAAGGTACAGATCTTCACGTCAGTGATTTATTTTGAAGTTTTAGTCATCTGTAGTTTCAAACTGTCACCCTTTAAAAGTGCAGAATTATATCTGTGTTCACGATATGTGTGTGTATGAAGACTTCAGATGCCAAAACCTCTAAGTCTGTCTACCTAGGGATGGGTATTGAGTTCGATACTTTTAGCACCGACCAAATTGCCTCGATACCGTCGGGTATTAGGGCTGCGATGATATGCCTATCTCCCGATTCGATACTATCATGATACTTGGGTCCGATATGATGGATTTTTTTTTTTGTTTTTTGTTTTTTTAAGAATTGCGATTCGATATTGCAGTTGTTTTTAGCACTAGACCATTGGGAAAAGTTCAATAATACACTTATACAGACTGTACATGATTTGTTTTTGTAAATAGGACTCATCTTTATACATCATCACATCTTTTTTTACTTTTATTTCAGAAGCATCATACAATAGGCCTACTACATTCTCTTGAATAAATGATTCAATAACACATACGTTTTGTGGAACGTATGTGTTATTGATAAAGTGCAGAATTATATGTGTGTTCATGATATGTGTGTGTATGAAGACTTCAGATGCCAAAACCTCTAAGTCTGTCTACCTAGGGATGGGTATTGAGTTCGATACTTTTAGCACCGACCAAATTGCCTCGATACCGTCGGGTATTAGGGCTGCGATGATGCGCCTACCTCCCGATTCGATACTATCACGATACTTGGGTCTGATATGATGTATTTTTTTTTTTGTGTATTTTTTTTTTTTTTTTTTTTACGAATTGCGATTCGATATTGCAGTTGTTTTTAGCACTAGACCATTGGGAAAAGTTCAATAATACACTTATACAGACTGTACATAATTTGTTTTTGTAAATAGGACTCATCTTTATACATCATCACATCTTTTTTTACTTTTATTTCAGAAGCATCATACAATAGGCCTACTACATTCTCTTGAATAAATGATTCAATAACACATACGTTTTTAACAGTCACTTGTCGCCACTTAGTGGCGAAACAATGTAATCGATAAATGCATTATTTTAAGCACCGAGTTTCTATCAAAAGCTGATTTTGATCACTATTGTAGACATCAGTGTTCATATTTGAACTTTAAAGTTTTATCCAAGTACTTCAATGATAATTTTAACTTTTCCATCACAGAAATAATGGATACTATGAGGTTGAAAAGACTGTTTATGCAGCTGTTTCATGACGGAAACACAGCTTTGATTGTTGCGATATGATTTTGTCAGTTTAATAGAAAGTCCGTTTCGTTTTATCATGGATTGAATAGAGCTTTTCTTTAATGTAGGTTATGTCTTATTTGGTCACAATTACAGCAGCACAAGCAACACCGTGTTCACAAGCTATTCGTGAAATCCTGTCATTGCCACTATAATGCTTTTCTTAAACCTTAGAAAGGGCAGATTTATGAAGTTGACAATGTGACAAAGTTAGTTTTTTTTATTTTTTAGTTTAGCATAAGCCCTAGTTTTTAACTGTTTGTATTACGGTGCCATCAAGTGTGAGTAAACCACATTACACAGAAGCCTAAAAGAATTTGAGATTTAAGAGATGTATTTAATGCCGAATGCATTGTTTGGAAACGCATGGAAGTGTCACATCGGTGTCCAGAACAGAAGTCTGTATGCCGTGTCCATCCTCAGGTGTTTGGTGTGAGGCAGTATTTGGAGGACGCTCTGCAGTGTGGAGAGGTGATCTGGCAGAGGGGTTTGGTGAAGAAGGGCTACGGTCTCTGTCACGGAGCTGCTGGAAACGCGTATGGCTTCTTGGCCCTTTACAAGGTCACGCAGGATCTCAAACACCTCTATAGAGCCTGCATGGTGAGTCTGACCCCTCTAAAGCTTAGAATATAATGTGTCATGTTTAGTTTTCTTGAACTTTTCTAATAAAAGTTAGGTGTTAGGACTTTCCCATTTCCAGTAAGTACAGTAAAATAAGTTAATTCACAGCATATTCTGCTATAAATCATTGTGCTGTCTGGAAGGGGACCTGTCATTGCCTGTTGTGTGTACAGAGGCATGATGGGATTTGATGTCTTCTCATCTGCAGTTCGGAGACTGGTGCATGAATTATGGAAGACATGGCTGCCGGACTCCAGATACACCATTCTCATTGTTTGAAGGTAGAGAAAACATTATAGATGCACATTTACATTAACCTTTATAATTTTGGGGTTGGTAAGGTCTTTTTTAAGCTCTTTTATGCTCACCAAGGTTGCATTAATAAAAACGGCAATATTCATATATATGCAATATTCAAATAGCAATATTCATATATCTTTCTTTTTGCTGTATCAAAAACGTACCGAACAAACCATGAATTTTGTGAACCGCTACACCCCTAAAAAATAAATAAATTAAAAATATTTATATATATATACACACACACACACACACACACACATCACATGACATGACTTCAGGATTCCTTGAATAAAAAAATCAACATTTATTTAAATTCTGATCTGATGAACATTTATTTAAATTCTAATATCTTTATATTTATGGGAAGTGAGTTTATGTTTGTGTATGTTTTGTGTTCAAATGCTGAATAGTGAGGATTATAAACATTTTATTTTACACCGGTTTAATTAATATAACTAAACACCATTTATCATATTGTCTCATGAAGGAATGGCAGGAACAATTTATTTCCTGGTTGATTTGCTGCAGCCAACTAAAGCCAAGTTCCCTGCTTTTGAGTTGTAAAGGTAACTACAC